CTTACAGTCTTTGCACCTATTTGATCTTGAGTCTCGCAGCATGTTCTGTGATGGCCTCTTCGTCCTCGTCTCAATCAATCAAAGGCGCCTACTGGCCTTCATGGGCGAAGAATTTTCCTCCATCTTCCATTGAGACGTCGTTTTTCACACACATATACTATGCATTTCTCATTCCTAACAATGTAACATTTAAGTTTGACATAGAATACGCTACAGAGGTGGAGCTAGTGAATTTCACGTCCACTCTTCATGCAAAGAAGCCACCTGTGAAGACACTCTTCTCCATTGGTGGGGCAGACGAAGGTCCAGTTTTCTTTGGACGAATGGCCTCGAGTCCTTCATTGCGTAAGAATTTCGTCGATTCAAGCATAGAAGTGGCGAGAAAATTCGGTTTTGATGGGATTGATCTCGATTGGGAATTTCCTCAAACGCCTAAGGACATGGAAAACTTGGCCTATTTACTTGACGAATGGCGCCTGGAGGTCCAGAAGGAAGCCAAAATCAGCAACCAGCCACCGCTCCTCCTCACTGCCGCCGTCTATTTCTCCGCCAACTTCTTCCTTTCCGGGAACTACAGATCATATCCTGCAACCTCCATCACCAAAAACTTAGACTGGATCAACGTAATGAATTATGACTACCATGGCTCTTGGGATACTTCCACCACAGGCGCCCAAGCTGCACTATTCGACTCCAAAACCAACATAAGCACAAGTTACGGCCTGGGTTCATGGATCAAGTCAGGCGTCCCAAAGAGCAAATTGGTCATGGGTTTGCCCTTATACGGAAGAACATGGAAGCTTAAGGACCCCAAATCACACGGTGTAGGAGCACCGGCCATTGACGTAGGACCTGGTGATCAGGGAGCATTAACATTCGCTGAAATAGTAAAATTTAACAGAGATCATAAGGCCAAAGTGGAGTATGATGCGGAGAGTGTATCCATGTATTCAGTGGCTGATACTACCTGGATTGGGTACGATGATACTCCATCAGTGACGGTGAAGATAGGTTATGCTCAAGCTCTTAGAATTCGCGGCTACTTCTTCTGGGCTGTTAATGGCGATTACAAGTGGAAAATCTCGAAAACAGGTACATATAATTTTTATATCTTTTTAATCTTACATTTCACTATTTTTTATCAAAATATATTAAAATTTTAATTTTTATCCAAACCAAACAGGTTAATGCACATTTAATTAAGACTAACATACTGATATTTAACGCACATTATTTTCTTTATGTTTCCTTTTGCAGCTTCCCAGCTATGGCGCCTTTGAGAATTTTTCCAATGATTCGTACGTATAAAGTAACATTTTATTTGGTATTACAACTGTCAAGAGGGTTAACGTTGAATTATATTTATTCTGCAAGAGAGACTATAGAATAAACTTCAATTGAATTGTTTTACTTTTTACTTTTTTCATCTTTTGTTGATTATACGTCCGTTCGACAATGTTAGATTCAGATTGCTTTTATGAAATTGATCGTCTAGAATCTAGATGATTGTTAGTAAAAATGAATGTAATTTTGAAGAGTCGTGAAAAAAAAATACAGAATTGGGTGCATTATTGAAACAGAATACTTCGATAATTTTCACAACAAATTAATGGCAACAATACATGGAGTATCAACGTAAATATATTTTATTAATCATGGTGAACAACGTCAAGTTTTAGCAAGACATACAGTGCAATTTGGACCTTGCATGACCATATCAACAATTCACACTATCCCACGCCATGGAAGCTGCCGTACATAATATAGACCGCAACATTAGTCCAATAATTCAAAAGAACAATAACAGTTTATGTCATAATAGGATCACTACTATATAAATTATGTTTAACGCTTATGAATAACATTACTCAGTACAATTATTTTGTGTATTAAATAAACAATATCATAATTAAGTTGGTTATATGTCAACTAGTAGGAGTTTTATCATGTCGTTCAATAATTTAAATAACAAATTATTGCATGTTAACTACATACAACATGGTTTTTGGTCTTATGTTGGTTCGGAAATTTTAAGGACGGCAAAAAATATATATAAATAAATAAAAATAAAAATCTTTAAACCCAATATTCAAGGGTCCGGCTCCGAACGAGACAGGTAATGTGGGGCAGGGATCGTTTCCTCGGGATGGGTAAGGAGAACATTGAAAAATTGAAAATTAATAATAATAATAATAATTATTATTATTATAATAATGATTTTCACTAATTAAAGACATGAAAAAAATATAAACTGGGCAGGAAGCATACGTCCCAACCTAACCTGCCTTAAGTGGGCATGGGGGTGGCGCAAAGAGGGACAACCTGAATGGAGTCAGGGCAAGGGACAAAAATGACTGTCCCTGCCCCGACCTACTCCATTGCCATCCCTAGAGTGTCTTGAGTGCGTTGGAGCTCACTAACCTTTCTAGCCCAGTTTGACTTCTCCAGTAGGGTATTGAGTGATAATAATTAAGAAAAAAATAAAAATGATGAGGTTTATCTTCCCTAGTAACAAACTTATTTTGATGTTTCCTAAAATTTGTTTAGGTTCGCACATGCTAGAATTCTAGGTTGTGCTACGCTAGGCAGCCCCCACTCTCAACTTAATAAAAGGTGGACTAAGAAAAGTCGGGGCGCGCATTCCTCCTCTTTTTAAGCTATCCCAAACAAGCACTATAAAGCTACTGGGAAAAATGATTTTATACCTGCTCTAGCAAGAGTCCAGTTGCTGTCATAACCAAGTTCCCATAAAAAATATCCCCCTAGGCCCTGAGCCTTGGCAAACTTGATTTTAGCCTGGATTGAATTAGTGTCATCATATCCGATCCAATTGGTTCCTGCATAAGAATATGTCGACACCGTCGCATTATCAAAAACCACAGTAGCATTATTCAATGAATTGAACCCCAATATATCAGAATAAATCATGACTCCTTGAGTCCCTCCGGGGCCTGTTCCCACAGCAGGAGCTCCAATTCCATGTTCATTCGGATCCTTCAATTGCCATGTCCTCCCATAAACTGGCATTCCCATTACTATTTTATTTGACGGAACCCCATCTCCTTTCCATGTCGAAATCCCATAACTCGTGCTAACGTTGCTAGAATTATCGAAAAGCAAGGCATGAGCTCCAGTGGCAGAAGTGTTCCATGAACCATGATAATTGAAGCACATTGGATTCACAAAATCAACGTAGTTTCTAATAGCTTCCCCGGGATAAGTCCTGGGAACGTCCGAGGACAAGAAGAAATTGGAAGCAAAGTAAACTGCAGACGACAAAAGGAGGCCGGGTTTTCCAGAGGCAAGTGACTCCTGGTTAACAGCAGCCCGCCATTCTTGGAAGAGCAACGCGAGGTTGGACATGTCTAGTGGATTGCTGGGAAATTCCCAATCAAGATCAAGCCCGTCGAAGTCATATTTTCTTGCTACATCAATAGATGATGATATGAATGCTGCCCTGTTGTCTGAATTGCTGACTAAATTTGAGAAATTGTTAGGACTGCCAGCTGCACCGCCCACTGATAACAATGCCTTGGCCGGGGGATTTTTCGCGTGGAGGCTGGTGGTGAAATTTCCCATCCATTGATCATCAGGTTTTGTGATTATCAGCTGATATGATGTTGCATCAGGCAATACAAAGGCATAAAACAGGTGTGTGAAGTATGAAGTGGGTATATTCGATGGGGGGAGTGTTTGTGCTAGCCAGGAAGGCCAGTATGCACCTTTGACACCGCTAGGTGGCGGTGCAGGACCTGGTGCTGCCGCTGGCGGCAGTGGAAGAAATGACCGTGGTGGTGCAGCATCGGAAAGTGCAATGATGGCAAGAAACAGTGCATAGATTTTGTAAACAGACATCATTGATAATTTCAGCTGTTCCTTGGATTGTTCACAAAATCAAGAATACGCAAATACATGTATTTATATTATCTATGGCGCCAAGGGCAAGAAAAATATAATTTGTATCGATGTTGTTTTGTTTGATTTGTTACATATTTCGAAGTTCGTGTTTGAACTTTCCGAGGATGGGATTTTCTAACGTAGTGAAGTGTGAATGGTACATAAATGTAAAATTTGGCTCTCAGTTCAGATTTGTTCTTGTGAATATTTGCTTCTGATGTTAGTTTGAATTAGGTATCAAATTTCTATTGAAAAAATGTTACCTGTCGGAGAAAGAAATTAACTTCGGTCGAGAAAATAGCGATAAATCGAACACAACAACAAGAAATGCAAAATCCACTATGAAGTTCATGAATAGAATTATTCTTTTATTTGTTATGTCTCAATACAAGACAAATTTATTATCTTCAACTCGTATTCATTTGACAAGTTCATTATTTCACATGTATTATTCCGTGTGTTCGACCATCATAAAAAGACTGTCACAATAATATTATTTCACTAATTGAAACACGCAGCAATTTTATTACAACCCTAGGTAAGTGATTTTTTTATTTCAAATATTTATATATTATATGTATTTCTTACTAATAACTAAAAAAACAGTTACTTAGCAAGAGATACATTATTCAACTTTTTCTTTCGAAACCTGTTTATTTATATTTATTAATTTTTAAATAATTATTAGTACTAATTCTTAATTATTTATTTTTATTAATTATTTAGTTTTGTTTAGGGCAAAATGCATTTCTTTATTCAATAGATTCCAAGGCAATAACATTTACAAAACATGGGAGGTGGGATATCAACCCCTACAATATATTGAAATTGTAAAAAACTCGTCGTGGTAGGACATGAGCCGCTAGATTTGTGTCCCTACTAAATGCGAAAATGATAGGCTACGAAGAAATTCTTATTAATTTTAGCATTTTCTAGAATGGGTAAATCAAAAATTCCAAAAATAAAATTTAATTATTTTCATGGAATGGCTATTAACAATTGACAACTTCTTAATTCGAATAAAGCACCTCTTTCTTTTTTTTCTTTTTTCTTTTTTTTTTGAACAAATGCTTGATTTTAGTTCAGTTTTTTAAGGTCAAACGACAAACCGACCTTTTCTTTTGGCGCCACGAAAGGGAAGAATTGATGATCAGCCGCCATTCTCGAGAGCTTAAGGAACAGCAATAATGGCTAAATATATAGGGGGGAAGGGGCTGTAAATGGTAAGGATTCTGCATTGCCTTTGTTTCCCATGGAGGCCTGAAAGAACATAGATATTTGTTTAGAGACAGAAAAGTTGGGCAATAAGGAAGGAGAGAAAGGAATTTACTCACCTTGTCAGTGTGGTCCTTCTTTTCTTGTAACTTAAACAAAACAATCATGGCCTCCGAAATGTCCTTGGAAGCGATCAAGAACGAACAAATTGACCTCGTACGTGTTACCCGTCCTTATGAAAGTCGTATTATTGTGTTTGGCCGTGTTTAAAAGCATGCTTTTTTATCTGCTTTTTCGGCAGCATGTACGGATATTGGTGAAAAAATAAAAATAAAAACTGCTTTCAAGCACAACATGAGTTCTTGATTCATATCTTAGGCAAAATGTACACGTGATTGTCAGATGCTTGAATTCTTGCAGTAGTTTTTCATGTGGAAATGTGTGCTTTTGCAGGAGAAGATCCCTGTTGAGGAAGTGTTCAAGCAGCTAAAATGTACAAGAGATGGCTTGACATCTGATGATGGTGCAACAAGGCTGCAAATTTTTGGCCCGAATAAACTTGAGGAGAAAAAAGAGAGCAAAATCCTCAAGTTCTTGGGTTTTATGTGGAATCCTCTCTCGTGGGTCATGGAGTCTGCCGCTATCATGGCCATTGCTTTGGCCAATGGAGGGGTAATCACATTTTACCTTCACTCACCCCACCGGGTTTATATGAAAATTTCGGATTGACACGGTCAATTGAATTATGCAGGGAAAGGGTCCGGACTGGCAAGACTTCGTAGGTATTGTGGTACTGCTCATTATCAACTCGACTATTAGTTTCATAGAAGAGAATAATGCAGGCAATGCAGCTGCTGCCCTTATGGCTGGCCTTGCTCCCAAAACCAAGGTATTGTTGTTCAAAAATTTATTCATACGTTGCCCACCCTTCAATTAGCAGCCAACTTCATTCTAAATTTGGTATTATTTTACAGGTTTTGAGAGATGGCAAGTGGACTGAGCAGGATGCCTCAATCCTAGTTCCAGGAGATTTGATCAGCATCAAGTTAGGAGATATTATACCTGCTGATGCCCGTCTTTTGGAGGGTGATGCTCTCAAGATTGATCAGTCGGCCCTTACTGGGGAGTCTCTTCCAGTAACAAAGAACCCTGGTGATGGAATTTTCTCTGGTTCCACCTGCAAACAGGGTGAGATTGAGGCAGTGGTCATCGCCACTGGTGTTCACACCTTCTTTGGCAAAGCGGCTCACCTTGTTGATAGCACCAACAATGTGGGGCACTTCCAAAAGGTACCTAGATTGACCTCCACCAACAATGTCAGATTGATCTGATGTTTATGGCGTTGAAATTTAAGTGTGAGGACTCTAACACGTGTTCTATGTTCTTTTATCAGGTGTTGACCGCCATTGGGAACTTCTGTATTTGCTCCATTGCTGTGGGTATGCTGATTGAGGTTGTAGTTATGTATTCGATCCAGCACAGAAACTACAGACAAGGAATTGACAATTTGCTTGTGCTACTCATTGGAGGAATCCCAATTGCCATGCCAACAGTTTTGTCTGTAACAATGGCTATTGGATCTCATCGGCTATCCCAGCAGGGCGCCATCACCAAAAGAATGACTGCCATTGAGGAGATGGCCGGAATGGATGTTCTCTGCAGTGACAAGACTGGAACCCTTACCCTCAATAAGCTCACTGTTGATAAAAACCTGATCGAGGTGTTCCCAAAGAACATGGATAAAGAAACCGTTATCTTGCTTTCTGCCAGAGCTTCTAGGGTCGAGAACCAGGATGCCATTGATGCTTCAATTGTTAATATGTTGAGTGATCCCAAGGAGGCAAGAGCAGGAATCAAAGAGGTGCATTTCTTGCCCTTCAACCCAGTGGATAAACGTACTGCAATCACCTACATTGATTCCAATGGAGACTGGCATCGAAGCAGCAAGGGAGCCCCAGAGCAAGTGAGATATCCTTAATTGTACGTTAATGTTAATAGACTTATATCTAATACACAATATCTAATTCTTTTGATATTTTGATAGATCATTGATCTCGCTGAACTCAAAGGGGATGCAAGGAAGAAGGCACATGAAATCATTGATAGTTTTGCCGACCGTGGCCTTCGCTCTCTTGGTGTTGCACGACAGGTAAGATAGAGTAATATGAAGTACTATAAAGATGTTCGTTGAGTTGTAAATTAATGAAAGATAATGTTATACTAAAATGTGATTATGTCGGCATATCTGCAGACTATTCCAGAGAAAACCAAAGAGAGTGCTGGTGGACCTTGGGAGTTTGTTGGTTTGTTGCCCCTCTTTGACCCTCCAAGGCATGATAGTGCAGAGACTATCCGTAAAGCTCTTGATCTTGGCGTTAATGTCAAAATGATCACTGGTGATCAGCTTGCCATTGGCAAAGAGACTGGACGTAGGCTTGGCATGGGTACTAACATGTATCCATCTTCTTCCCTTCTTGGCCAAAGCAAGGACGAGTCCATTGCCTCGATTCCTGTCGAAGAGCTCATTGAGAAGGCAGATGGTTTTGCTGGTGTCTTCCCTGGTAAAATCATCATATACAATTCGTGCAAAACAAGTCAATTATTTATAATGAAAATAAAAATCAAGTAAAGCTATTATTTTTCTACTGAGATGAAGTTGTGACTTCACAGAGCACAAATACGAGATCGTGAAGAAACTGCAAGAGATGAAGCACATCTGTGGTATGACAGGTGATGGTGTGAATGATGCACCAGCACTCAAGAAGGCAGACATTGGTATTGCTGTGGCAGATGCAACTGATGCTGCTAGGAGTGCATCCGACATTGTTTTGACTGAGCCAGGCCTCAGTGTTATAGTTAGTGCAGTCTTGACAAGCAGAGCCATCTTCCAGAGGATGAAGAATTATACCATCTATGCTGTTTCTATCACCATTCGTATCGTGATGGGATTCATGCTCATTGCCCTCATCTGGAAGTTTGACTTCTCACCATTCATGGTTCTAATCATTGCCATCCTCAATGATGGTACCATCATGACCATTTCCAAGGACAGGGTGAAGCCATCTCCGGTGCCGGACTCTTGGAAGCTCAAAGAAATATTCGCCACTGGCATTGTACTTGGAACTTACATGGCTATCATGACTGTCGTATTCTTCTACCTGGCATCTGAAACCGATTTCTTCTCTGTACGTCCATTCATAGAAAACAATTTCTTTAATTAATTTAGCAGTAAAGATAACAACGAAAATTTTGCTCTAATACATGCATTTGCTAGCAGAACACCTTTAAAGTGAGATCTATCAGAGGCAATCAGGATGAGCTTACCGCTGCTCTCTACCTTCAAGTGAGCATTATCAGTCAAGCACTCATCTTTGTGACTAGGTCAAGAAGCTGGTCATTTACGGAACGCCCTGGTTTCTTGCTTGTTGGTGCTTTATTTTTACGTAAGAATGCATTTTTGAATAGTAAATTGATGGAAAATGTGTGATTGAAAAATAAGGAAAAGTTTTTTATTTACGCTTTATATTATTTTAATAAATAACATGTAGTTAATATAAAAAGAGAGAAAAATGCATTTTGAAAAAAATGGGTACCAAACGAGGGCATAATAAGAAACAACGTTCACATTTCTTTTCTTAACTCTTGCATCCGATGGTAATTATTTTTAAGGATAGGAAATACATAAGATCCAGCATTCATGTTCCAGGCAAATTTTAGCACGGGTCTTAAGTCAAAATTAATTCTGATTTTTTTAATTAAATTATGTGTGTTAAGTGGGAAATTTCCTAACCAATTTGTTATTTGTCAACTGGAGATAGTGTTAATAATATGAAACCAGAAGAATAAAATGTCAAAATGACAATGTCAAATATTCGAGAAGATCATGCTTCTCAACTATTTGAAAGACCAATTTATACACGCTTTCACATTATGTTTTTATACCAAGTCATTGTCACATATGGTGACTTATTGTCCATTCATATGTTAAATTAGTAGGATTTATGGACACTAATCCTCCACAACCTGCCTAAAGAGTCGAATAGAATGGTCCAAACATTATCTCCATAATAAATACCTAAAAAAAAAAAAAAATCTTTATCGAACAATGCTTTTTCCCTCTTTTAAATGTCTAAGTTTAAGAAGTTGATCGAGAATCATTTATGACATATTTGGTACCTTAAATTAAATTGCGTATATATCTTTTACTTGATCAGGTCTACTTTTATCTTTTATTATACGTACATTTATATACCGTCGTCACTATTGCTAGCCTAGAAGCAGCCAATGAAGGGGCCGAGTCGAGGCACACGCAGTTGGCCAAATTATTTTTTTTAGTGAATATTACATTTCACTCAACAATTACGAGCCGACAATTGACTCGCACGAGATTTTATCCGCTCAACTTGCATCCCACCTCGCCTCTGAGCCGGCGAACAACTCGCCACCACTTAAGAATTCTACTCCACGGATGGATAACGCACTGTCTGAAAATTATTTAGGCACTGTGGTTTGACCAAGTCATATCTAATTAATGGGACGACTTTCTAAAGTGGTGACCTTTTACTATTCAAAGCAATGATATACTTTTCAATTTTCAGTGGTTCTGTTCAGCTGCAATATTGACAATTATTCAAAATTGGAAGCGCCGCAGAATCCAATCACAGGTTCTGTGGATAAACACTACCATCCAAAACAGCACAAAAACATTGTAATGATTGTGTAACATTTGACAAAGTCAGACCAATTTTTTCTCTATATATCTGTAAAGAATCCAAAGTGCATATTAGCAAAAATAATACAATGGCAGCAGGCTTAAAAACTTACAATCTTTGCGCCTATTTGATCTTGAGTCTCACAGCATGTTCTGTGATGGCCTCTTCGTCCTCGTCTCAATCAATCAAAGGCGCCTACTGGCCTTCATGGGCGAAGAATTTTCCTCCATCTTCCATTGAGACGTCGTTTTTCACACACATATACTATGCATTTCTCATTCCTAACAATGTAACATTTAAGTTTGACATAGAATACGCTACAGAGGTGGAGCTAGTGAATTTCACGTCCACTCTTCATGCAAAGAAGCCACCTGTGAAGACACTCTTCTCCATTGGTGGGGCAGACGAAGGTCCAGTTTTCTTTGGACGAATGGCCTCGAGTCCTTCATTGCGTAAGAATTTCGTCGATTCAAGCATAGAAGTGGCGAGAAAATTCGGTTTTGATGGGATTGATCTCGATTGGGAATTTCCTCAAACGCCTAAGGACATGGAAAACTTGGCCTATTTACTTGACGAATGGCGCCTGGAGGTCCAGAAGGAAGCCAAAATCAGCAACCAGCCACCGCTCCTCCTCACTGCCGCCGTCTATTTCTCAGCCAACTTCTTCCTTTCAGGGACCTACAGATCATATCCTGCAACCTCCATCACCAAAAACTTAGACTGGATCAACGTAATGAATTATGACTACCATGGCTCTTGGGATACTTCCACCACAGGCGCCCAAGCTGCACTATTCGACTCCAAAACCAACATAAGCACAAGTTACGGCCTGGGTTCATGGATCAAGTCAGGCGTCCCAAAGAGCAAATTGGTCATGGGTTTGCCCTTATACGGAAGAACATGGAAGCTTAAGGACCCCAAATCACACGGTGTAGGAGCACCGGCCATTGACGTAGGACCTGGTGATCAGGGAGCATTAACATTCGCTGAAATAGTAAAATTTAACAGAGATCATAAGGCCAAAGTGGAGTATGATGCGGAGAGTGTATCCATGTATTCAGTGGCTGATACTACCTGGATTGGGTACGATGATACTCCATCAGTGACGGTGAAGATAGGTTATGCTCAAGCTCTTAGAATTCGTGGCTACTTCTTTTGGGCTGTTAATGGCGATTACAAGTGGAAAATCTCGAAAACAGGTACATATAATTTTTATATCTTTTTAATCTTACATTTCACTATTTTTTATCAAAATATATTAAAATTTTAATTTTTATCCAAACCAAACAGGTTAATGCACATTTAATTAAGACTAACATACTGATATTTAACGCACATTATTTTCTTTATGTTTCCTTTTGCAGCTTCCCAGCTATGGCGCCTTTGAGAATTTTTCCAATGATTCGTACGTATAAAGTAACATTTTATTTGGTATTACAACTGTCAAGAGGGTTAACGTTGAATTATATTTATTCTGCAAGAGAGACTATAGAATAAACTTCAATTGAATTGTTTTACTTTTTACTTTTTTCATCTTTTGTTGATTATACGTCCGTTCGACAATGTTAGATTCAGATTGCTTTTATGAAATTGATCGTCTAGAATCTAGATGATTGTTAGTAAAAATGAATGTAATTTTGAAGAGTCGTGAAAAAAAAATACAGAATTGAGTGCATTATTGAAATAGAATACTTCGATAATTTTCACAACAAATTAATGGCAACAATACATGGAGTATCAACGTAAATATATTTTATTAATCATGGTGCACAACGTCAATTTTTAGCAAGACATACAGTGTAATTTGAACCTTGCATGACCATATCAACAATTCACACTATCCCACGCCATGGAAGCTGCCGTACATAATATAGACCGCAACATTAGTCCAATAATTCAAAAGAACAATAACAGTTTATGTCATAATAGGATCACTACTATATAAATTATGTTTAACGCTTATGAATAACATTACTCAGTACAATTATTTTGTGTATTAAATAAACAATATCATAATTAAGTTGGTTATATGTCAACTAGTAGGAGTTTTATCATGTCGTTCAATAATTTAAATAACAAATTATTGCATGTTAACTACATACAACATGGTTTTTGGTCTTATGTTGGTTCGGAAATTTTAAGGACGGCAAAAAATATATATAAATAAATAAAAATAAAAATCTTTAAACCCAATATTCAAGGGTCCGGCTCCGAACGAGACAGGTAATGTGGGGCAGGGATCGTTTCCTCGGGATGGGTAAGGAGAACATTGAAAAATTGAAAATTAATAATAATAATAATAATTATTATTATTATAATAATGATTTTCACTAATCAAAGACATGAAAAAAATATAAACTGGGCAGGAAGCATACGTCCCAACCTAACCTGCCTTAAGTGGGCATGGGGGTGGCGCAAAGAGGGACAACCTGAATGGAGTCAGGGCAAGGAACAAAAATGACTGTCCCTGCCCCGACCTACTCCATTGCCATCCCTAGGCAATTCTAAGTGTCTTGAGTGCGTTGGAGCTCACTAACCTTTCTAGCCCAGTTTGACTTCTCCAGTAGGGTATTGAGTGATAATAATTAAGAAAAAAATAAAAATGATGAGGTTTATCTTCCCTAGTAACAAACTTATTTTGATGTTTCCTAAAATTTGTTTAGGTTCGCACATGCTAGAATTCTAGGTTGTGCTACGCTAGGCAGCCCCCACTCTCAACTTAATAAAAGGTGGACTAAGAAAAGTCAGGACGTGCATTCCTCCTCTTTTTAAGCTATCCCAAACAAGCACTATAAAGCTACTGGGAAAAATGATTTTATACCTGCTCTAGCAAGAGTCCAGTTGCTGTCATAACCAAGTTCCCATAAAAAATATCCCCCTAGGCCCTGAGCCTTGGCAAACTTGATTTTAGCCTGGATTGAATTAGTGTCATCATATCCGATCCAATTGGTTCCTGCATAAGAATATGTCGACACCGTCGTATTATCAAAAACCACAGTAGCATTATTCAGTGAATTGAACTCCAATATATCGGAATAAATCATAACTCCTTGAGTCCCTCCGGGGCCTGTTCCCACAGCAGGAGCTCCAATTCCATGTTCATTCGGATCCTTCAATTGCCATGTCCTCCCATAAACTGGCATTCCCATTACTATTTTATTTGACGGAACCCCATCTCCTTTCCATGTCGAAATCCCATAACTCGTGCTAATGTTGCTAGAATTATCGAAAAGCAAGGCATGAGCTCCAGTGGCAGAAGTGTTCCATGAACCATAATAATTGAAGCACATTGGATTCACAAAATCAACGTAGTTTCTAATAGCTTCCCCGGAATAAGTCCTGGGAACATCCGAGGACAAGAAGAAATTGGAAGCAAAATAAACTGCAGACGACAAAAGGAGGCCGGGTTTTCCAGAGGCAAGTGACTCCTGGTTAACAGCAGCCCGCCATTCTTGGAAGAGCAACGCGAGATTGGACATGTCTAGTGGATTGCTGGGAAATTCCCAATCAAGATCAAGCCCGTCGAAACCATATTTTCTTGCTACATCAATAGATGATGATATGAATGCTGCCCTGTTGTCTGAATTGCTGACTAAGTTTGAGAAATTGTTAGGACTGCCAGCTGCGCCGCCCACCGATAACAATGCCTTGGCCGGGGGATTTTTCGCGTGGAGGCTGGTGGTGAAATTTCCCATCCATTGATCATCAGGTTTTGTGATTATCAGCTGATATGATGTTGCATCAGGCAATACAAAGGCATAAAACAGGTGTGTGAAGTATGAAGTTGGTATATTCGATGGGGGGAGTGTTTGTGCTAGCCAGGAAGGCCAGTATGCACCTTTGACACCGCTAGGTGGCGGTGCAGGACCTGGTGCCGCCGCTGGCGGCAGTGGAAGAAATGACCGTGGTGGTGCAGCATCGGAAAGTGCAATGATGGCAAGAAACAGTGCATAGATTTTGTAAACAGACATCATTGATAATTTCAGCTGTTCCTTGGATTGTTCACAAAATCAAGAATACGCAAATACATGTATTTATATTATCTATGGCGCCAAGGGCAAGAAAAATATAATTTGTATCGATGTTGTTTTGTTTGATTTGTTACATATTTCGAAGTTCGTGTTTGAACTTTCCGAGGATGGGATTTTCTAACGTAGTGAAGTGTGAATGGTACATAAATGTAAAATTTGGCTCTCAGTTCAGATTTGTTCTTGTGAATATTTGCTTCTGATGTTAGTTTGAATTAGGTATCAAATTTCTATTGAAAAAATGTTACCTGTCGGAGAAAGAAATTAACTTCGGTCGAGAAAATAGCGATAAATCGAACACAACAACAAGAAATGCAAAATCCACTATGAAGTTCATGAATAGAATTATTCTTTTATTTGTTATGTCTCAATACAAGACAAATTTATTATCTTCAACTCGTATTCATTTGACAAGTTCATTATTTCACATGTATTATTCCGTGTGTTCGACCATCATAAAAAGACTGTCACAATAATATTATTTCACTAATTGAAACACGCAGCAATTTTATTACAACCCTAGGTAAGTGATTTTTTTATTTCAAATATTTAGATATTATATGTATTTCTTACTAATAACTAAAAAAACAGTTACTTAGCAAGAGATACATTATTCAACTTTTTCTTTCGAAACCTGTTTATTTATATTTATTAATTTTTAAATAATTATTAGTACTAATTCTTAATTATTTATTTTTATTAATTATTTAGTTTTGTTTAGGGCAAAATGCATTTCTTTATTCAATAGATTCCAAGGCAATAACATTTACAAAACATGGGAGGTGGGATATCAACCCCTACAATATATTGAAATTGTAAAAAACTCGTCGTGGTAGGACATGAGCCGCTAGATTTGTGTCCCTACTAAATGCGAAAATGATAGGCTACGAAGAAATTCTTATTAATTTTAGCATTTTCTAGAATGGGTAAATCAAAAATTCCAAAAACAAAATTTAATTATTTTCATGGAATGGCTATTAACAATTGACAACTTCTTAATTCGAATAAAGCACCTCTTTCTTTTTTTTCTTTTTTCTTTTTTTTTTGAACAAATGCTTGATTTTAGTTCAGTTTTTTAAGGTCAAACGACAAACCGACCTTTTCTTTTGGCGCCACGAAAGGGAAGAATTGATGATCAGCCGCCATTCTCGAGAGCTTAAGGAACAGCAATAATGGCTAAATATATAGGGGGGAAGGGGCTGTAAATGGTAAGGATTCTGCATTGCCTTTGTTTCCCATGGAGGCCTGAAAGAACATAGATATTTGTTTAGAGACAGAAAAGTTGGGCAATAAGGAAGGAGAGAAAGGAATTTACTCACCTTGTCAGTGTGGTCCTTCTTTTCTTGTAACTTAAACAAAACAATCATGGCCTCCGAAATGTCCTTGGAAGCGATCAAGAACGAACAAATTGACCTCGTACGTGTTACCCGTCCTTATGAAAGTCGTATTATTGTGTTTGGCCGTGTTTAAAAGCATGCTTTTTTATCTGCTTTTTCGGCAGCATGTACGGATATTGGTGAAAAAATAAAAATAAAAACTGCTTTCAAGCACAACATGAGTTCTTGATTCATATCTTAGGCAAAATGTACACGTGATTGTCAGATGCTTGAATTCTTGCAGTAGTTTTTCATGTGGAAATGTGTGCTTTTGCAGGAGAAGATCCCTGTTGAGGAAGTGTTCAAGCAGCTAAAATGTACAAGAGATGGCTTGACATCTGATGATGGTGCAACAAGGCTGCAAATTTTTGGCCCGAATAAACTTGAGGAGAAAAAAGAGAGCAAAATCCTCAAGTTCTTGGGTTTTATGTGGAATCCTCTCTCGTGGGTCATGGAGTCTGCCGCTATCATGGCCATTGCTTTGGCCAATGGAGGGGTAATCACATTTTACCTTCACTCACCCCACCGGGTTTATATGAAAATTTCGGATTGACACGGTCAATTGAATTATGCAGGGAAAGGGTCCGGACTGGCAAGACTTCGTAGGTATTGTGGTACTGCTCATTATCAACTCGACTATTAGTTTCATAGAAGAGAATAATGCAGGCAATGCAGCTGCTGCCCTTATGGCTGGCCTTGCTCCCAAAACCAAGGTATTGTTGTTCAAAAATTTATTCATACGTTGCCCACCCTTCAATTAGCAGCCAACTTCATTCTAAATTTGGTATTATTTTACAGGTTTTGAGAGATGGCAAGTGGACTGAGCAGGATGCCTCAATCCTAGTTCCAGGAGATTTGATCAGCATCAAGTTAGGAGATATTATACCTGCTGATGCCCGTCTTTTGGAGGGTGATGCTCTCAAGATTGATCAGTCGGCCCTTACTGGGGAGTCTCTTCCAGTAACAAAGAACCCTGGTGATGGAATTTTCTCTGGTTCCACCTGCAAACAGGGTGAGATTGAGGCAGTGGTCATCGCCACTGGTGTTCACACCTTCTTTGGCAAAGCGGCTCACCTTGTTGATAGCACCAACAATGTGGGGCACTTCCAAAAGGTACCTAGATTGACCT